CTCTCTCTGTCTATTTGCTCCTTTCTCTGTGTTTCGCGCCCACCCTCTGCTCCAGCTCTCGTGGACATGTCCCGGGCGTTCTTGGGGATCGCCGCGGGTAACGAGATGGCGGAAGACTACATGAACGCGGTCGTCTCCGATGTCGGTGCTCTGCTCGATTGGAAGAGCAACCGGATCAGGCCGTCCCCTGCAGCCAACAAACGAATGTGACGGCGGCAAGGCTGTAGGGTGTATGTATGTGTGTGTGTGGCTCAACTGGAAAGATGAGAGCTGGTCAGCTTTTCGCACTGCTGTGGTGGCCGTTTGTCAGTCGAATACTAAATGCTGCTCACCGGTCGGTGTGTTTATTCCTGACTCCTTCGGGTTGCAGTGTCGGTTGGTTTGCTTCGCTTCTTCTCTTGGTTGGAGGTTAGTTTGTCTTCGCTTCTTCTTTTTAGTCGGGAGGTTAGTTTGTCGACAACTTTGGTCAGTTTGTCTGGATTTAATTTGTTCATGCTTGCCTTTTTGGTCGTCACGGACAACCTTGTGCGAGATTCACCGTCCAAAATGGGAGGAAGATAAAACTCCACTCCAATACCGTCATCCACGCACTACGCATTATTTGTCGGCGGTGTTTGGAAGCACGAATGCTAGGAGTTGGTAGCCAAATCGACGACTGACCACACACATCGTCTGCAAGAATACGTTGATTTCGGTGACCAGAGACGGGGGACCCCTTAGGGGTAAAAAACGCAAATACTTTGGGGAGCGGCGCAATCGACAACGAGTGGCAACATCAACGGTTGCTGCGCCGTGAAAAACGCGAAAAAGGTAGTGGCTCCCTCGCGTTCGTTCAAGCGACGACTCCGGCCTTCATCCGAGCACACACGTTGAGCGCGTGTGTCTTGGTTATACCCACAAGTCCGGGACCAACGTCTCCACGTTGAAATCACGTCACGTTAAACAGAGGTCTCCATGTCCTTTTCACCAGTAGACTAGTAGTGACAGGCAGGATCACCCCCTCCGCGTAAAAAATTCATTCATTTAATGGTTTGTTACTCCTCCGGCGAAGCGCAGAAACTCAAGCACTTTGTAGACAACGCGTGAGTGCCTGACGACGAGGCAGGAACGAACACCCTACCCCTGTTCTCCTCAAGCCGGCAACCTCCAGCGCAACTCATCTTATCCGCGTAAACTAGCAGTGGTAATATGGCAAAAATGATTGCAACACAGATATAGCGGAGGAGCCAGTCACCGCAAGGGACAACGCCTGCGAGTTAAGGCAGCGGGGAGATTCCGTTCCGAAAACCGTTCTTCGTTTTGTTCCCCGGTTTTGATTTTCGTGTCCGTGCTGATATACACCCGAACCCAACACCCAAGCAACGTCAAACGGACACCGAGCGGTCGTACAGGGTGAGCAGAACCCCTCCCCCCTTCCCGCCCCCGTCCGCTGCGACCACCATCAAGCATTTCGGCATCTCACGAAATGAATTTTCTCATTGGAGGGTCTGGGACCAAATGTACATTACATCTTGCCTCTTGTCCCTCTAGGTGCCCACTCGAGAGTGGGAAAACATAAGGTCTTCCGTCAGGCCTAGGCCTAGACCACGTTAGGAAGGACGGCTTTCGGCAGCTGAAAATCGGATGGTCGTCTCTGCGTCGAACCAAACGAACACTCACCAACAACACCATGACAATCACGAAGTGCTTCTGTACTGCCGTGTGGCAAAAAAGGTTGTCAACAGCCAATAGGCCGACGCGCTGAATAGGCAAAATCGTAAAATCGTCAACCTAAACGGTTCGTGGACGTGTGGTTTGCACAGCAGCAGCAGCAAACCCTACCAGAGCGACCTTTGCCACGCCTACAAGTTTTTAGCGAGGAAGAACGACAATTACGGGGAGCCGCTAGAAGCTCGCGTCATCTCCACGTAAGAAAGAGACGATAACACAAACACACAGACAAGCGTCACCGTGGGCACACACTCAAGTTCATCCCAAACATACCACACACCGGTACGCGTACGTCATCCCAGGGTCTACGCCAGGTGTCTCTCCTCGTTTGTCCCCCCCCCCATCCCGCCCCGGTTTTTTTTTTCGCGGTAACCATAATGGTGGTCGAGTAGATCATGTTGTGCGGGGTGGAGAAACCTCACTCCGCGCCAGGGGGATGATCGCACCACGTTGTGTTTAAATGGTCAAGCACCCTCGAGGCAGTTACACAGTGCTTATAACTGTCTCTGGAAGTGAAAGCACCAGAAAATAAATTAAGTCATACGCAGCTGTCATCCGTACGCAAGGAAGTAAGCACAAGATGCCGAACACCCTTAGCAGGATGCACCGCACCCTTCATGCGGCTCGCCGAATACCTCACGGCGCTTCGCGCTTGGTGATGTGAGAGCCTGGTCCGGTGAGAACCCGGCGTGCTCCGTCCCGGCTTTGTAGGGATGCGAGGTCAATGGTCTAAAGCCTACGGCATGCACGACTATGAGTACACCCCCCCCCCATGTCGTGTTGGGAGAACACACTGTCCTGCTTGGATGGCAGCACGAACGCCCTCTTCCCTCTTTACTTCGCACGATGGTTGCCTACCCTGCAGAAACACCAAAAATGTTTCCTCGACGCACGACGACTAGCACAAACGGTAACCGCACTCACTCACGCACGCCTCTCGGTGCCCGGTCCGTATGTGCACGTAGAAATGCGACACTTGGCAAGCGGTTGTGCACGTGCACAAGATAGTGTAGCAAAGGCGCCGGTCGACCGATCAGTCCTCGCCCCCCCCCCCTTCCCTCCACGCGACCCCAGCGCTACAGCCTTCGCTATCTCCGCTTTTGCTTCCAACATGGGGAAAAATAAAAAAGGCACCGAGATGCAATCAGCAACATGTGAAAAAAAAAAAAAAAGGACGTGCAATCCGGTTATGTCGGGACAACAAGGAACAACAATAGGACAACCGTGATAACAACTTATGTACGCAGTAAAGAGAGAAAAAAAAATGAGCACACTGAACTACTATAAACTCGTCAACAATACGTGCTACGGCTGCGGCGGCCCCAGCAGGCGAGCAGGCAAAACACGACACACTTGGCGATCCACAAACAGACAAATATTCGGAACAAACCTGCAGCCCACCTTTTCGGCGCCATCTTCCAATAAGAAGAACGCAAGGATACCTCCCCCCCGCCCCCCCTCTACCCCCTCTCCCGCGATAAAACGCAGAAAACGTTGTGTACCGATTGCTGTAGGTTTTGAATACGAGGCTTTCCTGCGGACAAATTTCAAGGCTCCCCCCCTTCCTCCTCCACTGGTTTCTTTTTCTTCTTCTGTTACGGTACGGTATTTCCGGGAGGCGTCCATTCCAGTTTTTGGATGGGGTCAGCAGGGGAAAAGAAACCGCGCGGCGGGACAAAGGAGGGAGGGGGGGGGGGGGGTCAGGCGAAGTGTGTTCAGCGGAGGAAGGATTAGGATCGTCCGGCAAAGAAATCGTCGGGAAGAGCGAATGGGTGGGTACAGCTGCTGCAGGCAGATGCAACAGGGAGTGCGTGTTGTTTTGTGATACACGTGCACTTCCTCCTCGTCAAACTCTGTCCCAGCAAACATCAACAAAATTGATTTGGAGCTCTCTAATTAGTATACTTGACGCTCGCTGAGCTACCATATACTGCCCATGGAGAAAGGAGAGCCCCGTGGAGAACCAACCTCGCTTCGCCCGCGAGCAGCCATGTCGGATTGTCGTGCCAAACAACCCTGGGGTCAGGTACAACATACTCGGAGCCCCCCCGTCGGTGGCACCACAGACACCCCAAAAACACTTCTATTCATAGTATGAACCGAACCAATACATGCGAACGGGCGCAACAAGATCAGAACTTCCGGCAACCAAGGCACACACGAACACACAAAGCACAAGCAGAAATACGCCACAAAATGGACACGAGACTCCCTGCGTTCACCTTCTTCTTGCCGAACTGTTGTACGAGAGCCTCCTTATCGGTGACCACCACCGCCGGCTCCGCCTTCTCCTCTTCTACCGGTACCGCTGGTGCCGGAGCCGGCGCCGGTGCTGCCGCCGCTGCCGTCCCCTCGGCACCCCCCTCCCCGCCCCCGCCGTTGGGTGCCGCCACCCACTTGGGCTCCGTACCCTTCGACTCCTCGGCGGAGGCTGCGGCGGCGGCGGCCGCAGGTGCAGGCGGAGCCGGAGCTGAGGCTACCGTTCCCGCTGCTGCTGCTGCTGCTGCTGCTGGCGGTGGCGGCGGCGATGATTTCTCCTCCTCCTCCCCGGTCCTTCCGAGAGCCGCCTTGATGGCGGCGGCGGCAGCGC